GCAGCAGCAGCAGCAGCATCGGTGCGCGCTGATCTTCCTATCCCTTCTGTCTTGCTCTCCGTTTTGTTGTTGTCTCACTTCGTTATCATCGCCAGCGACGTATGCGGCAGTCAGTCAGTCAGACAGAGACAGTCTGAAGCTGGCAGTGGCACCAACCAAACAGAAGAAGACCGCTCTCTGACGATTTTCTATTTAAGCGCTGCTCACTCTCACACGGCTGATCACTCGGCACTGCAACTTAGACTGCAGCTGGTCTCATCATCGGCAACAGTGCTTACGGCAACAAACGGCTTTCTCTTTCTCTTTCTGTTTATTTGCTTTCTATTACCCCACCAGCACGTGTCTTTTTATTCTGTGATGTTTTCAGGCAACATGAAAATGCAAAGCTGTCTCAATTCAACGCTCATGTGCCTTAGTAGTCATATTCTCAGACTGAATGTACGAAAGCTCTAAATGACTGGTTTTCTGAGTTATATTTTTAAATTTTTTTATCACATCTTTGTTTTTTCATTTTTTACTAATTAATTTTTTGCTTTTTCCATTTACTTTGTAGAACTCCAACCAAGCTTCTTCAGCGACTTCAGCCAGCGCAGTCAGCTCAACAGGTGGTGAGAAGCATAAAAGCGAGCGAATGACCGGACTGTACCATCAATCGCCGCCTCAGCAAGTGCAGCAGCAACAACAACAACAACATCACCACCCGCAGCATCAGCATCAGTTGCAGCAGCAGCCACCACTATCGCCACTGACAGCGGTCGCCTCTGCAGTCAGCCCGAGCAAGATGTCCATTGGAATCCGTCGCACGGTCAGCTCTGCGGCGCCCTCCACCGCCACCGGAATGGGCTCCAGCGGCACCGCAGTGAACAGGCCAGTGGTGGGGCCGAACTGCGTGGTCAAGTCACTGAGCAGCAATACTCAATCAGTGCGCTCCACCGCCTCTGCCTCTGCCGTCCAGCACATTGGAAACGGCAAGGACCCCCACAAGAAGCTGGACCGCAGCTTCAGTGAGCCGGCGGAGAAGAAGACGAGCAGCGCCTCGAGCAGCGGCTCACAGGCGTCCCAGTCTCTTGGACCGTCCTCGCGGTACAAGACTGAACTGTGCCGAAGCTTTGCCGAGGTCGGATCGTGCAAGTACGGCGACAAGTGCCAGTTTGCTCACGGCGAGGAGGAGCTGCGAACGGTGACGCGCCATCCTAAGTTTAAAACGGAAAACTGCAAGTCCTTCCACTCGACCGGTTTCTGTCCGTACGGTCCTCGCTGTCACTTCATCCACAACACTGACGAGTCCTCGAAGAAGGCGAATGTGCAGAATGGCAGTAACGGCAACAGCAACGGCCCCTCTACGCCCACCACGACCATCACCCAGCGAATGTTCGAGAACCCTCTGCCTGCTTCGGTGTCTGCCGTCTCCGGTGGCCACGGTATGAACCACGGCATCAGCCAACAACAGCCGGCGCCCTTCACTACATCGAACAGCAATGCCAACATTGTGCGTCCAAAGGCGCTCTCACTGGGCAGCTACAGCCTAGGCTCGTCGGGAGAGATTTCGCCACCGAGCAGTCAGAGCGGCAGTCCAACTTCACTCAACAGCTTCTTCACCGAAGACAGCTTCGGCCTAGGCACGCCATTCGGTTCCGCTAGAGCCCCCATTTCTCGACTGAACTCTGTGAACGCCTTTCAGTCTGCTCCGGGCGGAGGGAACACCTTCTCCTTTTCGCCTGACAGCGCCTTTGTCTCCTTCAACAGTGCCGTGAACAATGCCAACAGCAGCAGCAGCAACAGTGGCTCGTCGCTTTCATTTGGCGGCAGCAAGTGCATCTTTGGGGGCTCACAGCCGACGCTCAACTCGCGATATTCGCCCGAACCAACGAGCGCTGACGAGACGGCAAACAGTGTCATCTTTTCCCTCTTCAGCTCGTCCATCAACAACGAGCCAATGCAGCTGAATGAGTTCATCCAGCGAGCCATGTCTCCCATTAACAAGTCATCGATGATGATGTACCCCAGCTCACCGGAGTCGCCCGTCGACAGCGTCGCCTCTGAGATTGAGGCTTTGAAGCTGGGCGAAGTGTCCTCTAGCTTCAGTCCCATCTCCTCCTCCTTTTCCACCTCCTCACTGTCGCCCTCTTCGGCCTCCTCGCCGCCGAATGGCCTCGTTGACCTGGACACCTTCACTCTGCTGTCCTCTGCAGCTCCGGGCAGTGCAGTGACCAACATTCCCCGACTTCCCACCTTTGCCAAGTTTGCTGCATCCAGCCTCAACTGCAGCCCACTGACCAGTGCAGCTCACGAGTGAGAGACATGCCGAACAGCTGGGCATGCAGTGTCCAGTGTCTCATCGGTGTGCTCTGTTCGTCACTGCTTCTGGTCAGAAGGAAGAGACTGTGCATGCATTTACCTAGCCCGGTTAAAGTTCTTTTCTCTTTTACGACCCGCTCTTTCATCAGTCACCTCACCAGCACCTGCGGCGTCAGCACAGCACCAACACACACAATCACACCTCCAGCACCTGTTACCAGGGACCAAGACCGACTGAACGAACAGACCCCACCGAAGACCGACAATTAATAGCCACGCACAGAACAGCCCATTCTCACCAACCTCCCTTTCCTCAGCCGCACAACTCTCTCTCTCTCTCTCTCTTTCTCTTTCGACCATTATCAACTGCTTAACCCATTTTCTGGGCCGCGTGTCCATTGCCGCAAACAAACTCGATCAACCCCTTACCATCAACTTTGGCGCCGGCTGCGCCTTTATCAGATTTAATTTATTATTACTTATCCCTTTGCGTGGCTTACGACAACCTCTGCAACCACTGCACCCGGCACTAAGCAACTCGAAGACCTTATTTATTTGTTGAACCTATTCATCTCATGGTTGATCACGCCTCCTTCCCTCCCCTCCTCTTTCACACACCCCCAAATCACTGACAATTGATATATGTATATTAATATCATTGCCTATTTATATTTAATCTAACCACCCAGACATACCACTGTGACCACTTCCAGTGAGCTATTATATAACGCGCACACTGGCAACTGAACCGATCACACCCTTCTCTCTCTCCTTTTCTCCATCCATTTACCTATCATTGACCCATCGCGCACACTGACACCGCTCGCTATTTTGTTATCTATTACTATTGCCCTACCATTATTTATATTTATATTTTCTATGAATATTGACGCTAATGTCGGTATTTGTCTCCTTGTATCATAGCACCGATATATTTATTAATACATTTTATTTATCAATTTCACTCACTCTTTCTCTCTCTTTTTCTTTCTTGCTTTGGCTTGCGCTGCAGCACCTCTTCTCC